TTTTTTTTTTTTAAGTTTCAGCCAGTGGGGGCTCGCCACTTCACTGGGGGTGCGACCCTCACTAGGGGTCTACAGCATGGTTGTATTTTATATAGGTGTGAAATTCATACATATCATATGAGATATTTGATAAAAAATTTTATGATATATTTGATAAAATTTTTAAAATTTCTACCCTTACTGTTTTAAATTTCATACATGAACATGAAGGCTTTCCAAGAAATATGAAAAAGTTATCCCACTTGGAAACAAGCTAAAAAAAAAAAAGTCAATTTTTTTATTTTTTTATTTTTTTATATAAATAAAAAAATCATTAAAAAGTTAGCTTTTTTACAAAAAAAGTCAAAAAAAAGCTTACAAAGTCAAAAAACTAATTTTTTACTAATTTCTCAAAACATCTTTATTTCGAAAAAATGGTTAAAAGTTGACTTTTTAATTTTATTTGGCTTTTTTTTTTAAAAAAAAGTGTAAAAATATGAGAGATGATATAACCCAAAATAAGTTAAAATGCTGGGAAGTGACTTTTAACTCATTTCCTAAAAAGGCCAAAGAGGTTACAGAGTTAAAAAAATAAATAAATAAAAGGGGTTTTGCTAGAGCCCCAAATGATACCTATGTGAAAGGTTTAGTAAAAAATTTGATAAATAGTGAAAGGTTTGATAGAAAATTTGGTAAATCATTTGGGCTCCATATCATTTTTCAAAAAAAAAAAAGGTTAACAGTATTATTACTTTTTAATTTATCAATAGATACGTGTCATTAAAACGGAAGCTGGGACGGCCTCGTGGGACAGAAGATCCCAACCTATAGATTCAAAAAATAGAGACACAAATAAATGAAATTTTGGTAGTTGGGTACGTTAATACAATGGGTAAATTACACTTTGTTTACTAACATTCTAATACAAAAAAAATGGATTTTATAGTTTAGATAATAATTATTAAAAACATAATTCAATGTTTAAAATTAAATATATTAAATAAAATTAATTAAGTTTGTTTGATGTATGATTTATATGATTTTAAAAATATAAAGTAATAAAATTCTCATGTAATACTAACTAAATTTATAATTGATGGTGCATAAACACCAACGTGTATCTTTTATGATCTTACCACCACAACAATGTGTGCCCTTTCTACTTCTTGCCACTTCCACCTTCATATTCATCATCACAACTATTATAACTATCACCATCACCATATATGATCATCGCGATTACTACCACTACAATATAAAAAGAGACAATTACAGAAAAAAAAAATAGTATAAATTTAAAATAATTGTAAAGAGATGGAAGGATAAGACATAACCGCACAATCTAATACATAAATTGCGTATACGTCCATGACATTACAATCAGTTTATGTTGATGCCATTTTTTTACAATTATCTCACATAAAATTTGGAATAAAAAATTTGAAAGCAATAAATTTTAAATTTCATTTTTTATATATCAAATAAATTTTCAACTTAAAAAATATAAGATTCAATTTTTAGTACTATTTTTTATTTTTATTTTATCAAGCATCGGCTGCAAATTTTTGCAAGAGCAGTGAATAATTTCTGCAAATTTAGGCACTGAATAATTTTATTTATTGAAGTGCTTATATTTTTTATAAAAACAAAAAAAAACAAAATTCTCCACGTATTTATGTGCCCGAATAGAAGATAGCCAGCCACGTTTTGAAACCAATGGGGCTCAGTTTGGCTGCAGTTAGTCATGATGCGGTTGTGCCGGTCAGTGATGTGGTTCCAATGAATGCTTGCCTCGCCCAAAAAAATATAAAAAGGGTAAATTACAAATGCAGATTGTTTTTTATAATTTAAAAAATGAAAAAATTATCAGAAAGTCCTATTTACCAATCTATTACTCCATCTAGTCCCACATTCATTCTCTTGGATTGGCAAGTCTTGTTTGGCATGTTTTGTGGACAACCAGGTCCGTTTTAAATTTATGTGATATGTGTGGACAGGTTTGACCCTCTTTTATTTTTTCTTTAGAGGTGTATATTGGGATTGAATGCAGATTTTGTGGGATACGTTTCCTGATCCACGTTTGATAATTCGGATTCATGTTTTGGGGTCTGATAACGTGGGTTATGGAGTCATACAACACTGCGTAAACCAACAAATGTGAACCCAACAAATCAAGAATTTCTGTGAACCCAACAATGGATACAACGGCCACACACTAACAAGAATACTCCTCTTGAGCTTCAAATGGTGCCTCCTCAGCATTCTCAGTTCCATACATCTTCATCACTATCCATGGCCAAGCGTGGAGCTCGGACCAAAGCGTGGTCGTTTCTCTCCAACGGCCTTCTATTCGTCGATGGAGTTTTGGTGGCTCTTCTAACGGTTTGGGCTCTCTCGTCCTTCATAAACCCTAACCCTAGTTCTGGTTTCTCAGAGAACGAAACGAAGGCATCGATTTCTTCAAAGAAGTGAGATTGCGCTGGGGGTGTGCACCAGGTTAACTTGCGCAACGACCCGGATGACCCGACATTCTACGACGACCCAGAACTCAGTTACTCCATAGGAGGGCAGGAGATTAAGAGCTGGGACGGGAAACGGTGGGATTGGCTGACGCATCACCCGTCGTACCTCGCTGGAGCAGCCGATCGGATTCTGCATGAACCCAACAAATGGTAAGGTTCACGTCAAAACGTCACAAATGGCAATCGGGGAAGAAAGGGTCAAACTGTGGGAAAGCCGAAACGTGACACACTTGTTCGTGTCAAATTGATCGTGTCAAACTGTGTCAAATTACTTAGTTCACAAAAAAAAAAAAAAGCGTCAAATTACTTGTGTTCACGTCACAACCCACGTCTCATGCTGTGCGTTACACACTTAGTAAATTAAAAAAAGTATTAGTGTACTTTTTCGATCAACGTGACACACAAGCACACATTCACCTTCTCCCATACAAACCCACACCAAATGTCAATCAATAATACTAGCAATGGCAAAACTGTCAACAAACAAATTAAGGGACCATCCAGTCACCAAGAAAACATTCAGGACCTTATGGATTACAAGTCCACAAAATAGGATTTACTGGTCAATTCCCCTTAAAAAATTATAAATATACTTTTGTTAAAAAAATTTATTTAACAGAATTAACTAAAAAAAGAAATTTATAATTGCTCTCATATTTAATAATAAAATTATCTAAATTATTAATTGAAATATATTTATAACATTATTAAAAAGGGATTTTTTTTTTTTTTAAGGTCCCTTGTATTAAGATTTTATAGCATAAAGGACATCTAATATTTTCATAATGTCTAAGGTCCCTCAAGTTGATTCAGAGAAAATTGGTCTAGAGAAAATTAGTTCAGAGAAAATTCACATCACAGAGAAAATGGGTCTAGAGAAATTTTCATCAGGAGTGGTTAATGAAGGACAAAAAGGGCATACAACATCGAGCTGATTACCACACAAAAAAAAAAAAAAAAAAAAAAAAAAAAAAAAAAAAAAAAAAAACAATAACATCAGTGGGATTTATACAAATTAAGCATTCTAGGTTCCAGCTCAAAACCAAAGAATTTCTCTGAACCAACCCAGAGAAAATTTAGTTCAAAAACCAGAGAATTTCTCTGATTTCAACCCAGAGAAATTTAGCTCAACAATCAATTCAATTAACATTAGTCACTCTTACAGTGACACGCCACATTTCATAGCATTCTAATCAGGTGGTTATGTTGTTTCATAAACTAGGGTTTTGAAAATACAATTTCAACAAAGTTCCCTTACCCAATTCCATTCTCCAATCCCTCAATTATTCTCCAATCCCTCAATTATCACAAGAATCAGAAGCTCCACTCTTCCCCTTCACCTTCACAGCACAGCAACCCTTCTTCCTCTCACTACAAACACCATTACCCTTAACAATCTGAATTCTCCTCTCCAAAAACTCAGAATTCTCTTTCCAACCTTCTTTATCTAAATCGGAACTGATGCCTTGATCTCATCAATCAGAAATTTACAAGCATCCAAAGCTTCAGCACGATGAACAGCAGAGACAGCGATGAAGACGCTAGTGTGGCCGACTGGAATGGGGCGGAGGCGGTGAGCGACGGCGATGGAGTGGAGATTCCAAGAGGAACGAGCCGATGAACAGATGGATTTGGTGCGGCGAATCGCCATTGGCAAGTAAGCTTCGTATCAGAGCTCTAAGACTTGGTTGCCATCGAAGGTGTCGCGGGTGAACTCTGCGTTCAACTGTTCAACGAGAGAGAGAGAAAAGCAACAGGAGAGAGATAGAGAGCGTGAGATATATCAAATTTCTCTGTAATAGATAGGTGTGGGTTGAGGGATCTTAGACATTAAAAAATAATATTGTGGATCTCTTCCATTACTAAAAATGGGAAAGGGACCTTAGACTAATTTTTCCTATTAAAAATTATTAATTGACTTGATGATTTATTAATAAAATGGATGATTTGTTATGAAATTAGAAATCTCAAAAGGTGGAATGTAATTTCTAAAACCATAAGGAATAATTTATATTTTAATTAAATCTCAAAAGATATATTTATAATTTACCCATAAAAAAAAAAAAACCACGTCAATAAACTTGCACTTTGACAGAGTTAACCAAAAACTCACTTAACAAATAAAGGACAATTTAGTATGTAAGTGTATATTATATATATTTATGTAAATTTTTATAAATATATGTAAGGTATTTTATTAAATTACGTAATTTTTTTATAAATATATGTAATTTAACTTATAAAAATTTAAAAATTTATAATATAGATATATTTATAAGAATTTACACGATTTTGTGAAGTAACTTATATATATTTATGAAAACTTACGTAAATACAATTTTGATCTACTTATCACTATATTTTACTTTACCCGATCAATGCTCTCACAATCCATTTATATTAAAAACGATTTGCAGCCAATACAATTGGGTCGAAGAATTTTGCCATCTATACTTTTTCTCTTAGGGTGGCCATTAGCCCAATGGCCCGCCAACCTAACCTACTTCCCTCTATTTCAAAATATTAGTTTTTTATTTTATTTTTCATTGTCTTAAAATATTAGTTCATTTTTTTAAATTAATGATTAAAATAAGGGAAAATTGGCCTAGGGTCCCTCTCCCACTTTTCGTAAGGGAAGAGATCCAAAAAAATTTTTTTTGATGTCTAAGGCCCTCCCATCTATCACAGAGAAATTCAGCCCCCTTCATTTTGTCTACTCTTACTCATCACCACGATCAAACACGCACAGAGAGAGAGAGAGAGCCATGTCGCCGGAAGATGTATCGGTGGAGAGGTTTAGGGAGGTTCTCGCGGAGCTTGATCGACGGAGAGAAGCTCCACGGCACAATCACAGTCACCGACGGACAAAGTTCTCAATCCATCTACAACTGAGATTGGGAAAAGGAATTGAATGTTCAGCTACACACAGATGCTACGCAGGCTTTGGGGAAGATTGCAATCTCTCTCTCTCTCTTTCTATATATATATATATATATCTTCATCCTCAATCTCCATCTTCCTCTATTAACTGGTTCATTCCATATCTTGTATAGTTCTTCATCAAGCTCAATTACTATATTTCCCATTTTGAAGAACTTTACCAGCAAATGCTTGCAAAGGCTTTATATTCATGATGTTTATTTGAAATATATATTCATGAATTAAAAAGGTTGACTGAAATATATATTCATGATTAGGAAATTTCAGATAAAAAGCAACGAAAATGATTTTGACAAAATCTAGGACTATTTTAAATCCAGACAGAAATTAATAATAAGAGTTTTAACTTATATACGAGTAATTAATATTCCACTACCTTATTGTGTACTGTAGTATGGGACGTCAGTCAAATTTATTACTAGAAACATCATGAATATATATTTTTTTGTGGTCATAACCTTTTTATTTGAAATATATATTCATAATCCACAAAAAGGCTTTATATTCATGAATATATATTTTTTTGTGGTCTCAATCTTTTTGTGGTCTCCCATTTGAAGCCAAGTTGCTGTTGTTGGACGTAACTGACTTTTTACTAAAGGTGGGTGCCAGGACACAAATATCAATCACCCTCTTTGTGATTTGATATATAATGAACAATGCCAAAACCCTCACCTTGGTGTTCTTTCCTACCATGAGGATCCAAGAAGTGGTCTGTATCTGCTGCTAAGGAGGGTGACCTGGAATAGCTCTCCAATATATCTGAATGGAAAGCAAAAAAAAGCATGAAAAAAAAAATACCAAGAACATTTCTGAGGTTCATAAGTTCATTGACTCAAGTCAGTTGCAATAAAACCAATAACTTGTTGGCAGAATGGTATGAAGTTGGCCTAAATATACTTAAGTTCATAAAACAACGAGTTTAAGTAGTGGAAAAGGATTCAATGGATTAGAGATTCTTCCCCGAAGAAGAACAATAGGGCAAATGTGTGTAAAAGTGCAGTGTATTGAATCAACTCCTACATCTACTCAATCTATTACATAGCACTTGGCCTGAACAATCTCTCATTAAATCATGAGAGAGAGAGAGAGAGAGAGAGAGAGCCAACCCATTTTCTTTGTAGAGAATTTCTGTCCAGAGAAATTCTCTGAGATTTTGGCCACTGTGTAAATTTTCTCTGAGAAATTCTCTGGGAGGTTCTAGAGAAATTCTCTAGACAAAATTTCTCTGGACAGAAAATTCTCTGGTCATATTTGCCACTTACCAAAGTTCTCTGGTGGTATGAAGCTTTTAAAAAATTACATAATTTAAAACACTTTTTGTCTATTGAATTGGTGGCTTGCTGTTGTTTTTTCTGGTTTTCTATGTACTAATGTCATGTATATTTGCTATAGGTAAGGGTGAGTCTAGTGTTGTGGTCTATGCTCAACTTTCAAAGCTTGATGGGGTTCTGGGAAGGTTCCATGCCTTACATTGCTTGGAAATGTTTAGGGTGGCAAAATGGTTTTTCCACTGGTGTGTATTAATGTGTTTCATGAAATTTCATATTGAATGTTCTGAGCTATGATATTGTTGCAGAAAATGTGTCGGTGGAAGCATATGGAAGGGAGAGAAATTTGAAATTTCTCTGGAGAGTCCATGAAAGGCCAAGGAGGCCAGAGAAATTTTAAATTTCTCTGGAGAGGTAATTTTGTGGGAAGGCCAGTGAAGTCAGAGAAATTTTCAAATTTCTCTGGAGTGTTGAGTCCAGGAGGGCAGAGAAATTTACAGTGGGAGGTTTAGGGAAGGTCAGCTGAGGCTTGAAAACGTTTCTGGAAAGTACTTGGCAGACTGCAACGAAGCTTCACCATCCAAATTGGGATCCAACTGTACCGAAGCTGCAAGGTTGTGGTCTGTCTTGGAGCTCATGCCCCAAGAATTGCTCAAATTTCTCTGGATTCAACCCAGAGAAATTTGAATTTTCTTTGGATTCAACCCAGAGAAAATTCAAATTTCTCTGGGTTCATTTTGACCGATTTCTTTTGAGGCGAGCAAGAGGGTCCAACTCTAAATTGCCTCTTGTTGATCCAACTCTACCGAAGCTGCAAGGTTGTTGTCTATTATACATATAAAAATTAGGCTAGAGTGGCAATTTTTCTGATTACTCTCTCTCTCTCATGCTGTTGCTTGGTATATCTAACATGAAATTTTTGGTTTTTCAGGTAATGTTGAAGCTTCTTTGAGTTGGTGTCCCGGTGTTTTTTGAATTCATTGATCTTCTTTTCAATTGTGTGGGCTTGATTTTCTTGGCTGGCTTTGTTTTTTAATTTCTTCTTCATTCATCTGTGAATTAATAGTTGTAAATACTACCGACACCGCCAATCTATAAATATAACTATCCTTTCTTGTTGCAGTACACAAAACATAAAGGTTAGAACGTTGAGTTCACAGGTTTCATTGAGTTTTCACAGGTTTGATCGTGTCTAAGATGAAAATATTGCACTGAAGAGAGGAAGAGAATTTCTCTGGATTGAATTTTCTCTGGTTGAATTTTCTCTGGATTGAATTTTCTCTGGATCGAATTTTCTCTGGACTGAAATTTCTCTGGATTGATGTTGAGGGACCTTAGATATCATGAAAATAGTTGATGTCCTTTATACTATAAAATCATAATATCAAGGATCTTAAAAAAAATATCCCTTAATTTTTTTACAAATTATTAAAAGTTGTAGAAAATATGTTTATAACATATTTTAAGTCTTTTAAGCTAACAACATAAAAGGTTATAATCATAAAAATTACATTATCAGTGATACACAAATAGTATTAGTTGAATTAAAATTTGCAATAAAAACCGTTTGATTTAATTTTAGAATCATGATTTGAGTATGAAATTGACTTTGAGAAAAAAAAATTTAAAAAAAAATTATTTAGTTATGAGTTTTAAATTTTTTTTTGAGTTGTATCTTGAAATTGTTTTGGGTAAATTTTTTTTTAATATTTAAAAATTTTCAAAATTTTATTTTTTTAGGGTAAATATTTTTTATTGTAAATATTTATTTATTTTTTATTATTTTTATTTAAAAAAATATTTTAAGTATTTAAAAATTTAAAATTTTTTATATTTTCTTTTATTTTTTAAATATTTTAATTTTTTTTAAATTTTTTTAATTTTTTTAAATATTTAATTTTTTTTAAAAGCTACACAAAGAAATATATATATATATATATATTTTTCTTTATCTTTTTTTAATTTTAAATTTATTTTGTAATTAAATAATATAAAAATAAAATTAATATTTTTAAATGATCAGACTGGGCCAAACTGGGTAAAACTGAAAAAAATGTGTCCAGCCCAGTTGGACTAAATATTTTTTTCCAAATTCTAAAACTATTACTCTCTTCGTCCTAAAATAATAGTCCCTTTTGAGGAATCTAACTTTTTTTAGTAGTACAATTATTACATTTTAAAAATATTAGTTTTCCAAAATAATCCTGTGATGTTACATTTTTTTTTTTTTAAGAATATTAATTGTCATAATTATATTTTTTGTATTGTTAATAGATTTAAAAGAAGGCCAAAATAACAAATTCATATTATTTTAATCATTAATTTAAAAAAATAAACTAATATTTTAAGACAATGAAAAATAAAATAAAAAACTAATATTTTGAAATAGAGAGAAGTAGGTTAGGTTGGCGGGCCATTGGGCTAATGGCCACCCTAAGAG